TATGTGTATGTGTGCGCCTATGTGTGTGTGCCTGTGTGCGCCTATGTGTGTGTGCTTATGTGTGTGCCTGTGTGTGCCTATGTGTGTGTGCCTGTGTGTGTGCTTATGTGTATGTGTGCGCCTATGTGTGTGCCTGGGTGTGCCTATGTGTGCAGTTTGTGTGTGTGTGCACACCTGTGTGTGTGCCTGTGTGCATGCAGTTTGTGTACATGTGTGCACAGCTATGTGTGTGTGTGTGTCCGGAAATCGTGTTCAGCAGTGGACAAGACCAAAGACTCCTTTGGAGCCTGACTCTCTCTATGACCGCCCTGCCCCTAAGTTCTTCCACCAGGTCTCTCACTGACCTGTTTTTGCCCCAACGATCCTTACCCCACTTTACAATCACTAGAGGGCATCACTTGTAGATGCCTCTCCTGTGGGCCCGTGGCCGCAGGAGGGAGGGCCGTGTCTCGGTTCGGGGCTGGGCACACAGAGCGTGGGGTGGGCAGTGGTGCTGGAAGCCGGGGTGCTGGCAGGGCACCACCTGCAGCCAAGGGCCTCCAGTGGCTGCGTCCCGATGGCTCTGTCCCTGTGGTGTCCGCTCCTTCAGTGCTACCGGGACGTGTCTCTGAGGCGCTTGCAATTCAAGCACAGGCTGGCTGTTCTCCACTTTTCAGTTCATTTGGAATTAGGCAAATACTCCTCCTTGGCGGGATCCACCAGAATCCCTCCGTGGAGGACGCAGCCGGCCCCCACAGTCGCCGGCACCATGAGCTATTTTAATGTAGACATCCCTTCAGAGTAACCCGACCTTCACCGTCTGCTGTGCCCTTCGATAACCAACGCGAAAGGGCGGCGCTCTCGGGCGCAGTACCACGGTGAGCCGCTGGCCGTGCCCCTCGCTCACAGCGGGAGTGCTGCGTGAGGCCTCCCCTTTTCCAGACACAAGACACAAGTCGGCACTGCTCCCTGGCCTGGAGTTCACTCGCAGCATTTCTTCTCCGCACGGTACCGAGGGGGGCTTGGGGCAAAGAGCCCCGGAAGCACAGCACCCGGGTTTCAGAAGGCGCCACTGAACGGTGCCCAGAGAATTAGGCAAATGAGCCGATGGTCAAAATATAATGAGATTTCTCTGCAAAAATAAAATCTCTAAAATACGTGGTGGGCTCTTTTCCGCAGTTTTATAATTAAATGTCCCTGTGAAAGACAGGCTGTCTGGCCCAGAAATTGTACAGGAAGCTGCACTGGCCCTGGCTCACACGCCCTCCTCCATCCAATGCAGGTTAGCCAATGTTGTTGGAGGGCCTACTGTGTGCTCCAAGTGCCCTGCTCTTAATCTATAGTCAAAGGGAGCCCCTGGACTCACCAATATTCTAGAACAAGCATGTCAAACTCACAGCCCCGTGGGCCACATGTGGCCCACAACGAATATTTTTACAGCCCAGCCAATATAGCGGTATGTAAGAAACATTTTAATAAAAATTTCTTAACTTAATTTTTACAATATCCTGTTATACATAATCCTATATAATAAAAGCCTAATGTGCAAATCGACTGAACGGTGAAACAACCAGTTGCTATGGTGCACACTGACCTCCAGGGGGCAGCTCCTGCATTGAGCTGCCCCCTGGTGGTCAATATGCTCCCACAGTGGGAGCAACGCTCAGCCAGAAGCTGAGCTCACGGCTGTCGAGTGCAGAGGCGGTCGAGGGAGCCTCTCCCACCTCCGCTGCAGGTGGGCGGTAAGGAGCAAGGGGTCCCGGACTGTGAAAGCCCTGGACTGCAAGAGGGATGTCTGACTGCCAGCTTAAGCTCCATCCCCCAGCCGGCAGGGGGCATCCCCCAAGGGGTCCCGGACTGTGAGAGGGAACAGGCCACGCTGAGGAACCCCCTCCCCCCCAAGTGCACAAATCTCGTGCACCAGGCCTCTAGTTATTAATAACGAACTACAATGTTTGCTAATGACTGATACTATAATCGTGTTACATTCACTTCCCTTACACGCCTTATGCACAGGCGCACCATTTCTCTCCACTAATACTAGCAGCGAATATTTTAGCAGCCAATCGCCACATCATTAGTCTTGTACTGACTTGTTTAGTGTGCGCAACAGGAAATATTTCGCTTTCAGAGAACAAGAAAAATAGGTTTATTTGTTTGACGCTTATTAATCTGTGCAGTTATTCAGTGTCTGGTAAGTCAATGTTCAAGAAAAAAATATTACTTTGTATTAAAGTGTTCTATTATTTTATGTTAACGATGACTCGTTTATTTCAGCCCTTTGTAGTCAGCATGTCTCTATCGAAATAAACCTAAGTTTCTTTGAAAATTGAAGCTTTTGTTTTTTTGTGGCCCACATAAACCTTCTTATTTGGCCCGTGTTAGCCTTTGAGTTTGACATGCTTGTTCTAGAACCTTCCGCACTCCTGGAAGCAGAAGTGGTCCCTCACACACAGCAAGCCTTGGCTGAGCGTTCCCTTCTCTCCTCAACACAGTGTGGTCTCATTTAAGCTGCTCTCCAAGCACCAAGGAACAACACCAGCCCAGGCGGCAAGCAGGGCTTTACTTTCTCTGACCTAGACTTGCGGCTTTTGCCCCGTTTCCCTGGTGACCAAGTCTTGGTGCAAACTCTCCGTGGGTGGAGAAGATGAGTCTTGGCCACGGAGAGCAACCTTGCTGTTCAACAACCCCTGGGAATGGAGCCAGGCCCCCAGAAAGAAGTCTCCCTGAGTCCCCACTCGGCTGCCTGGCCAGGGCTGGTCTGAGCAGGTCAGCTGTTGTGTCTGAAGGACGCCACCTGGTGGGCAGCAGGGAGGCATGTGGTGAAGAGCGGGCGGAGCTGGTCCTGGGATGCCTGGCACTATCAGTGAGACCACCGGCCGAAGGCGGGAGGCCGGGGCAGGAGGACCTGTCACCTCCAGCAGGAGGACCCGGGGTAGCTGTGCTGACAGAGCAAAGCCAAGTTCAGGGGTCTCTGGGCCCGAGGGGACAGTGTGGGGGTGGCATCTGTCCCCAGACCAAGGCCTGAAACCAGGATTGATGTGTGCTGCTCGGACAGAGCCAGGGAGAGCCCTGCCTGACCAAGGAGAGTGAGGCGGTCAGAGGACCCAGAGCAAAGACACCACTCGCGGACGATATGTGTGTGTGTGTGCACATGCACATGAGATGTGTATGTGAGTGTGCGCACACATGAGTGTGTGTGCCTGTGTGTGAGTGTGTGCACGAAAGTGTATGCGTGTGCATGCATGCGTGAGCATGAGTGTGTGTGTACACGAGAGTGTGTGTGTGCATGAGTGTATGTGCTTTTAAGCATGTGTGTGGGCATATAAGTCTGTGAGTTTGTGTGCACATGAGCGGGTGTGAGTGTGTGTTCGCATGAGTGTGTGGGAGTGTGTGTGCATATGAGCGTGTGTGTGCTTCCTCTGCGGAGGCCACCACCCCGAAACCCTAGGCTTGCACAAACCTACACATGCCTGTGTAATGGAAGTCTTACCTCCTCCGACTGCGGCAGGAGTCCTTGCCCCCACCTTCTGCCCTCAGTGGGGAGGCCCGGTTATCTGTCTTTTATTGCTTTTTAAGAACTGCCTTGTTTAATATGTTTTTACTGATTTTTAGAGAGAGGAGGGGAGGGGGGAGAAGGAGGGGGAGAGAAACATCGATGCGACGGAGAACATTGCTGGGCTGCCTCCTGCGCATCCCCTAGTGGGGATGGAGGGCCCACGGGGGTAGGTGCTCTGCTCGGGAATGGAGTGGTGGCCTCTGGGGATGCTCCCCTGACCCTGCGCTTCTTGGGGGAACATCACCAGGAAATCGTGGTCTCTTCAGGTTTGCTATGTCTTCAAGTCAAGTTCAAACTTTTATATTTTCTCAAAAAAGAAGTCAGTGTTATTAAGGTTTCCAACCGAGTCACCAATGAAGTAAATAACAAAACGTTAAGAAAACTCACATTTTTATCTTAAATTTGCTGAAGGTGCGTCTGTTTTCTTGAGGATTTTCCCCTGAGGCAGCTCTTGAGACGGTTTATCAGCTCTTCTATGTTCCGTCCCCAGAGGCGGGTTCCTGCACCTGCCTTTGCCTCCCCCGGTGTTCTCTGCTTTGTCCTGCTGTGTCGCGTCCCTCCCTGCGGCTGTTTCAAGGATCAAACATTCAAAGTGAAGGCTTTGCAGTGGCTCCACCTCGGCCCAGTTCCCTGGGCTTGGCCATGTGATAGTCTCACCGTTGTTACTGTTTTTAAATAGCCTCTGAATGCAGCTTCGATTCCCACCTGGCCCATCGTTACTTCAGAATGATTTTAAAATTCCTGAAATTCTGTAAGTGGCAGCATGCAATTGTAATTGCGTTATTCCAATACGAGGCCCGCCCGATTCTGCATAGTGGAATTCTTTCAAGTTTTCACTGTGGTCCATTTCATTCCGAAGTGTGATCCCGGCCCCTGGGCTCCGACGCAAAGCTGCACCTTCTGACGGCACGTTCCCCGTGGGTGCCCGTGTCTAAGGCGGTTCCGTGCCAGCCCTGCTCTGAGGTCGTCGCTGCGGTTCCCCTCGGAGCGACCAACTGTCCCAGGGGCAGGAGGCCGGGATTATTCTCCCTCTGTGCACATCCAACTTGCCCATGGCCTTCCCGCATGGATGACAACTCAGCCACATAAACATATTGGGTCCCCGCCTTTCTTCCCTCAAAGTCCCGTACACTCTGCCGTGTGCTGGCTGTGGTCTCCCCGAGGCCTGATGGCGGTCAGGAGCGTCTGTGCCAGGGCCTTGGCCGTCGTCCCTCAGCGGAGGCTGTGTCCCTGCCGTGTCCCCGACTCCCCCAGAGCCCTGCCCTTGGAGTATGATGTGCTGTCCTTCCCTGGTGTCTGGGGTGCTCAGCAAGTCCCCAGCACTGGCTGCCCCAGGTGCTGGGCGCGTGGATGGAGCGCGAGCTGAGGCCTGGGTGTGCGGGAAGGCAGGCGGGTGTGTGATGGGGGAGCGTGGTCCCCGCTCCGCTGCCGCTGACCGTCCTCTCCCTCCTTCCTCCTCCAGATCCGGTCCGACAAAGACAACGACATCCCCATCCGGTACAGCATCACGGGCGTGGGCGCCGACCAGCCGCCCATGGAGGTCTTCAGCATCGACTCCATGTCTGGCCGCATGTACGTCACTCGGCCCATGGACCGGGAGGAGCGGGCCTCCTACCACGTGAGTATCCACCTCAGGTCCGTGCTGTGCAGGGTCTCACCGCTGAGCCGCTCAGCGCCCACGGGGCAGGCACCGCGCCCAGGTCTCCACTCGGGGTCGGGGGAGCCGGAGAACTTCCACTTGTACCTCCTTCCCAGGTGGTCAAGGAGGTCACGGTCCGCATCCACATGGCCGCCCAGGTGCTGGTGGGTCTGGAGGGTGTGGTCACGGGGCTGCACACTTGGGCCCTGGGCTCCAGCCCCCAAGTGCCCCGCAGCCTCCTCCCCCCCCAACCGCCCCCCCCCCCATCTTCCTGCTGCTGCCTCTGAGCCGGGCTGGGGCAGCGAGAAAATGCAGGCACAGGCCTTCCTTAAAGGGCTGCCTCCTTTCCTCTGGGGCCTCACTGAACCTGACAGGGTGGCTACGAGGCAGGCAGCTGGGCACGGTGGGAGCAGTGACCTCTCGCTCTCGTGCTCTGGTGGTGCCCGCCTGCCACTCACCTGGCGAGACCTGTGCCCTCCACCCCTCTGACCTCCGTCTCTGTCCCTCCCAGAGGCACGGCCCCTCGAGGGCGCCTCGTTTGGGGTCTACAGGGACGCTCAGCCAGTACTTGGGCCCCGTGCACATCTGAGTGAGTGAGAAGAGGAAGGGGAGGGGCGCAAAAGCTTGTCCCTCCTCCAAAGCAACAGCGACTCCAGGTCTCTGCCAGCCGGGCCCCAGCATCCCCTTCATCATGGCCAGGTGCCCCCGCCCCGAGGTCTCGGCCCTGATCAGCCGGCGCCTCCAGGCCTGACTGCACTTCTCTCCTTTCTGCCTGAACCCATGGCTCCTGGTTAACCTTAGCCCACTCCCGGCTGGGTCTCCCCAGGCCTGACCTCCCAGTAGCAGGACTCACAGTCCAGCCTCAGGTTGGCCCAAGGGCTTTTCTTCAGCCGTTGTAGGTGGACGTGCACTTGCTGTTGGTGCAGGGCTGAGCAGAGCAGGGGTCCCAGGTGGCCTCAGCACTGGGCCTCTGTCAGCCCCAGCTCCTGGCCATCACCCGATCCATCCTCCTGCGGACCCCCCCTCCCATGACCTCCCTGCCCACCCTCCCTGCCTCCCACCTCCCCGG